AAAAAAAAAACAACTGAAGTGCTGAGCCCACTTATCTAGTCTGCTTATTTCTGTAACATCTGAATGAAGAATACAGACTGACATTGAACAAAAATAATTTTACTTCATCAGAAAGATGCCGAGGATGAGAATATTACCAAGGGTTCTTTTCATTGATGGACTTTTCCTTCATTTCTTCCTCCTCCCCCCTTTCTTCCTTCTCTTCCTTCCTCCTCCTCCTCTGTCCTTCCTCTCCAATTTACAGAAGCAATTTGAAATACCCTTCACCTCTATGCACATATTCAAATGAAGGAAGAAAACTGAGACAATTACATCTACAAGCTGGGTATAAGCTTGTACATCTACAAGCTTATCTATAAAAAGAAAAGTCTGGCTACCAATCAAGGGGTGGCGATTCTTAGAAGCTCTACTCCCAACTGGCATCTTTAATCTCTTAGTTACTTTTCTTTTTTAACACTTATTAATGGCAACACTAAGCAATACTGTAGAAAAAAAGTATTTGCCACTACAAATGTGACCATGTGACTGTGCATTAGGGTGACAAAGAACACTGTGACAAAATGGACTCCATCATTCAAGTAAAGAAAAAGCAATTTCTGAAAATTAACCTCCCCTCTTAGGGTGCTCTAGCTGAAAGAACAGGATAGGCTATGTCATGTAAACACTTAATCCTCTGTCTGACTTTGTAATGAACCTAGCTTTCAAACATTGAATAATGACTTTAAGGAATCCCTGAAACTTTCAAGCTATTTTGTTTAAGTGTTTTTATACCATAAGTTGCAACAGAAAGAAAAGTATAAGTAGATGCCATCAAATTATCAGAAAGCTCCCTCTATTTTACTTTATTTAATAAGACACATAAAGAAAACCTGCGCAAATATCTGTCTCTAATTTCTCTTTTGTAAAAAGGTGAATATACTGTATCTGGCAGAAACAGTTAAAGTAGCCTGGGTTCCTTTTTAGAAAAGAGGGAAGGGAAGAAATCAGATGCACACAATGAGCCTTCAAAGCCACTCCAGCAGTAGAGATAAATAATTTAATAAAATCAACTTCATATTCTTTCAGTCTCCAGTGTAATAAGCACATATTAAAAAAAAAACTTTAAATTCATGAACAGTTGTGAATAAACTAGCTGCTGGTAGATAATGAAAACACGGAAAACAGTGCGCATGTGATCATTTTAACAGCTAAGCTCCCTTATGATCTTCCAGAAGGGTGCCACTGCTGGATTCAGTGAACTTGCAATTCAAGTTTAAATAGTCATTAAAAAATAACTAACAATTCAGAAACCGTAGGTCCTACACTTGAGAACCTAATGCAGCGGTTTTTTTGTTTTTTTATCTTCTTGTAGGAGGCTGTTTGCATGGCTTTGCACAGGCCATGAAGGGGCACCCCCACTGGGACAGTCACTCAGGAAGCTGCACTTCAGAAATGATTGTCCTGTCCTTGTTATCTGGGATGTTCCAAGTGTTAAAGTTCACCACATTTGTTTCATGTTCACAAATATGGCTAGATGTTATGATAACAGGCTTGCATTTTAGCTGGATTTGTTTTTTTTTCCTAACTGGAATATTTTAAAGCCAAGTTGCCTTAGTTAAATCCTAAACGCCATTCCAATGCAAGCATCTCAGCGGTTACATCATGAGATTCTTGGGTATTTCTTTTCCCTCCAATTAGGTCACTTTTCTTCAATTATCGTTCTATTATTAGCTTATGTCAAGGATGCCTACATGCATACCATTGAAAACAAATAACCATTTATGTCTTAAAACAGGAGGCACACACAAGCTTTTCTTCTGGTACTCGGTAAGACTGTATTAAAAAAAAAACTATTGGCATAAATCCAGTTCTTATACAGACTTTTCATATAATAAAACAGACTTTATATCACGTGTCTGTCACATCATCGGTTCAAACAATCCAGTATGTCGAATGCTTTTTTAAATAAAAATTACTATCCAGTAATAAAATAATTTACCGGTACGAAACCTATCTAACGCCAAAACCTCGATTAAATTCAGGCGAATTACACAAAAATACATCGTTAATTTTAATTCGTCTCCTTGGGCAATTAATTCAATTAAAGAAAGCACGCAAGGAAGGAAGCAGTCTTCAGTGCGGTTTAGTTTTCCTGCAACAACAAGCGGTGTTGAGATTGCGGAAAGGATTCAGCTACAGGCGCGGTTCATTTCCTGGGCTCAGGGTAGCGGACGGTCTGGCCATCAGCAGCTAGCGAGACAATCTAGTGCTGTTCTAAGCCGCCTGGTCAATCCACAGGGACAGCGGTCGCCTCGAGTCCGGTTTTATGTAAATCACTGTCAGCACCGGGCGTGGCGGGTGCTTCAGGACGCCGGCCGGCCTGGCCTTCCAGAACCCGCGGCCTCCCTAGCCCCCAACACCCAAGTTCCTCAGTCTTTTTGCCCCAAGTGGAAATCGTTCGGGAAAGGCCTGGGTTGCATCAATTAGTTTGCACAAAGTGCTTCGGTGTTTAGCTTCGCCTTAACCCAATTAAGCCGCACAGCGAGCCCAGAAAGATGCGCCACCTGCGCCTGGCTGCGGCCGGCGGCCGCGGCATCCCAAGCCCTTCTGTCGAACGCCGGGACCCACCAGGGCCTTGGCGCCGGAGCTACTTAAGGGTCGTAGCCCGGCGCGCGCGGACCCGGGGAGGTCAGGGCCACGCACTCCCGGCTTGCACTGAGGTCCGAGGGCAGCGCACGCTCGGCTGGGGCCACTGGAGACCTAGAGGCGGTGAGAGCAGAGCCGTCCGGAGGCACCGGGCGTGTTTTGCAGCAGTGCAGGAGAGGGGCCGCTCCGACACGCAGAAAGCCTTACAATTAGCCTGGGAGCAGATGGACCAAGGAGAGAGCGGGGCTGGGTAGGCTCAAGGGTTGCGGGGAGAGGTTGCCCGCCGCACCCTGGCCCGGAGACCCGCCTGGCCCCAGCGGCCTCTCGCTGCCGCACGGCGCTCTGCATTGCGCTGGGTTCTCTCCCCCAGAGCCTCGTCGGCAGCCAAAATGTAGCAGCGCGCGTTCACCGACGACGCCCGCAAACTGGGGAGGAGAAGGGGGGAAGCTTGCGGGCCCCCCGGCCCCTCTCCCAAGGGAACGGGTCTTGAGGAATGGAATAGACGTAAGCTCCAAATGTGATGGACTATTTTAATCTGATTCTGGATCTATCACTCTTGGGTAACAAGAAACTAAGTGAGGGGTGGCCGGACGCTTAAGAAGACGGGAGTCTTCGGCGGGCGCCCACTAAAAGTGCATGCACAGGTGCCGCCACAGACTTGCACTGAAAATTTGCAACGAACGGACCAGACCTTTGTACTAAAGGCAGGTAACTGAAAACTATGACGTAAGCCTTGACGACCCTTGACCCTTTCTTTGGTTTCTGTGCACCGAGGACTCAACTGCCGATGCTATTGGATGGAGGCGCTCCCAATAAAGACTCTGTGGGCTTCCAAAATCTAGACCGGCTCTTCATTTCTTTGAAAACTCCCAAGATGAAACTTCAAGAAATTATAATCAAAACCCAAACCCGAACGGTTACCAATTTACTTTTGAGGCCGTTAGCCATCTTCTTGTAATCAAACTATGAAATCTCATAAGATTAGGGATTTCCTGCTGGTCACCACTGAGGATACCTGAGATGGAGATCTTTAAGCCTGCGGGAGCAAACAAGGCGGAATGGCCACACCCTCAAGTGCTCGGCGGTAAGCCCACCTCTGTGAATCTTCCAGATCCTTCCGAACAGCACAGCTCACTATGAGATGGCCCTGAAATTCTAAACCCCGGAGAAGCCGGCTGCAAAGCCTCTGCTTTCCAACAAGAAGGCACAGCCCGACCCGCGGTTTGTTATTTAGTGCTGGCCAATGGAGCCCCAGAGAAGCGAGCAGCGCGCCGGTGAGCTTGCTTTAAACGCCCCACGTTTAACTGGGTGAGCGTCATCTGCCCCCCTGAGCAATAATTTTCAGATTTTTCTCAGCAAGTGCAAACGGGGAAAACGAGAACAGGTTCTGCCTGGGTTTGGGAAAGTGTTCTGACTTCCAACACCCAACGTGAAGAATGGAGGGCTCCTCCACTTGAAGCCATCAGTCTGTTAGGCAAACTTCTAACTTGCATTAAAAAGGCCCCAAGGATTAACGGGCATTAATTACCTTATCTAAGTGCGAGTTAGTGACTTTGCTTTAGAAAGCCCCTTTGACTTCACTAATTGGGGGATGACCATTAGTACAGCTGGATAGCTCATCAGAGGTGAACAGACAAGCAGGCTTTTCAGCACAGAGAGCCACTTCTCTTCGCCAAGTCTTTTCCAAATGTCAATATGCTTCAAGTTATACCAAAGCTGGGAGATTTCCTCTTGCTTTCCAACCTGTCTAGGTGGCCTGGGTGGTTTTCTGCCGGCAGCAGCTTTCTACCTTTGGTTTCTGTGCCTCTATCCACGAGGGGGGATTAATTAGCCCGGCTGAGGCTGGAGGAGGCTGTCGTGACGAGCCCAGTGGCGATTGGCCGCCCGCCTGCCTGGCCCTGCCTTTATAATTTCCACACGAGTGCATCTGGGCTCTTACACAAACCAACAGCAGCTTCTTCTGACAGACACACACTCACCCCGACGCACACTGGACACACTTTTCCTCCTTCTGATTAACAGTCCTGCACATACCATGATTACGGGGAAACGTAAATAAATACGGAAAGGGGAGATTATTTTGACTACTGGAAGAGTTTTGCTGGGTCTCAGCACAACTTTTGTTTTCATTACTGAGAAGGTGCTCTCCGCACGCGTCTCTCGCAGACACGGATTCTTTAGCGGAGGAGAGAAGGGGAGAGCGCAGCCTTTCACTTTAAGACCGGCTAGGCTCCAGCGGAGAATAGGCCGGCCGGGCAGGGCGGCCCCTGCTGCAGCCAGTCCGAGAAAGGCTCCGTGCCTTTTGCGCGTGGCCCCTTTCTCCACCGAAGTTGGCTCCAGCGCTAGCAGCCGCATTGGATCCCACAGCTTATTGCGAGACTCCGGTGTACAATCCGGATCTCTGCCCCAACATGATCGCGGCCCAGGCCAAGCTGGTCTACCACCTGAATAAGTACTACAACGAGAAATGCCAGGCCAGGAAGGCGGCCATCGCCAAAACCATCCGGGAAGTCTGCAAAGTGGTCTCCGACGTCCTGAAGGAGGTGGAGGTGCAGGAGCCGCGTTTCATCAGCTCCCTCAACGAGATGGACAACCGCTACGAGGGCCTGGAGGTCATCTCCCCCACCGAGTTCGAGGTGGTGCTCTATCTGAACCAGATGGGAGTGTTTAACTTCGTGGATGACGGCTCCCTGCCCGGCTGCGCGGTGCTGAAGCTGAGCGATGGGCGCAAGAGGAGCATGTCCCTCTGGGTGGAATTCATCACCGCCTCTGGCTACCTCTCGGCACGCAAAATCCGTTCGAGGTTTCAGACGCTGGTGGCTCAGGCGGTGGACAAGTGCAGCTACAGGGATGTAGTGAAGATGGTGGCCGACACCAGCGAAGTGAAACTGCGGATCCGGGATAGGTACGTAGTGCAGATCACCCCGGCCTTTAAGTGCACCGGGATCTGGCCGCGCAGTGCTGCCCACTGGCCGCTTCCCCACATCCCCTGGCCAGGACCCAACCGGGTGGCAGAGGTCAAGGCCGAAGGGTTCAATTTGCTGTCCAAGGAGTGCCACTCCCTGGCCGGCAAGCAGAGCTCGGCCGAGAGCGACGCTTGGGTGCTGCAGTTCGCAGAGGCCGAGAACAGACTGCAAATGGGGGGCTGCAGGAAGAAATGCCTCTCTATCCTGAAAACCCTGCGCGACCGCCACCTGGAGCTGCCGGGCCAGCCCCTCAACAACTACCACATGAAGACCCTGGTGTCCTACGAGTGTGAGAAGCATCCCCGAGAGTCGGACTGGGACGAATCTTGCCTGGGCGACCGGCTGAACGGAATTCTGCTGCAGCTCATCTCGTGCCTGCAGTGCCGGCGGTGTCCCCACTACTTCTTACCCAACTTAGATCTGTTTCAAGGCAAACCCCACTCCGCCCTGGAAAACGCTGCTAAACAAACGTGGCGACTGGCAAGAGAGATCCTGACCAACCCAAAAAGTTTGGAGAAACTTTAGAGGATGATCTAATCCTGGGCCAGCACGATCACTCTTCTCAAAGTCCCTACGAAATGGAAACTTCCTGGTTGATTACTGCGTGCCATTTCTCCAGACAGTGCAAACCTCTTCCTTTATAAAAGGAGTGACAACACATTCAACCATCATCTCACACCCCTGAAAAAGGAGTGAAAGAAAGAGGGAAGGACGACGGGGAAACCTACACCCACAAGCATCTCCCAGCTTCCCTGAAAAGTGCACAACACCCCAAACCAGCTGGGCTGCAATGCAATACGGCAGCCAACTCCGGCAAAGGATTATAGTAATCTTGAGACTTGGGTGCGTCTGCCTTCCAGTAAACGGGACCTGGATGTGCCATCGGATGGAGAGTGTAATGTATATTTTGATTTGTAACAAAAGTTGTGATCTCATGTTGTCTTTGAAAGTGTGGATGTTGGTGTTTTGTGATTTGGTGAACAGAACTGAAATTGCCATTCTGGAAACTTCCAGACATTTTCCACGAACAGAGATGCATTTAAAGGTAGATTTACTTCTGGTACTTTACCTGTCTGTGAAGTGTCTGAACTTAAAAAAAAAAAAAAACACGTTTACATTTTGTTTCAAATATATTGCTTGTTCTAACATTCCGTAAGTATACTTGAAATGTTATTTAAATATATTCAAAAATTTGAATTCAGCTTATATAATAACGCTTGATATCTGAATTATATATATTTGAAAATGCACTTGAAATACACTGGATAATTACTTTTGTGATTTAGAATTTAACTTCTGTTGCTGATTTTTATTTAATTAGAAGATAATAAATGAAGTAAAATACCAAATTGCTGTGTCTCACTTGAAGCTGGTCTTCTGTCAAATGAGGTAATGCTTCCTTTCAAAAAATAAACTTGAGGATTTTAAACATTTTGACAGACTAATAAAATCACTAAAATATTAAAGCTATATTAAACAGCTATAGAAAATATCCATGTCCTCAGTTTCTAACTTACTCCATGATTCTTTTCTACAATTGACATATTTATAGCCTATTTTTGAGACCTTCCTTCTGGTTAGTATTTCTGTAGCCTTCTGACAATGTAAGGGAAAAAAGACTATCATGGCAATGGAGATCACCGAGTTTAAAGCAGCAAACTCTGAGAAAATAAACTTAAATCATAATACAAAACTTTGATGTTTGTATATGAAATCTAAGCAATAAAGTGAAGGTATCTTTTAGCCAATATACTTTACCAAACATAGTTTAACACGATAAGGGTTATTAGAGTAAGTTATCCAGAAAAATCACAATTCATTCTTACTATACAAAGAAAGCGAATGGCAAAACATAGAGACAAGTTCTCACAGCACATTCACTCGCTTCACAACCTTTGGCAGTATCTCACTGATCAACAAGTGCTGGGAAGGCCAGGACTACTTCTTTACATTAGTTAATTCAGGGAGCAATCAACTTTTGAATTTCTTCCACCCATTTACAAATAATGTTCTATAATAAGCCATTTCTGTATAAAGCTTAAATATAAATAATACAGTTCAAGTCCCATTACCTATTTTGAGATGATTTAAAGGAAGATCTTTGGAAAATGATAGTAGAATATTCAGCTTTACACCTCATTATCTCAACTAAAAGACCTCAGAAGAAATTTACAATTATTACAGTTATATAAATAAGAAAACAATGGAATGCATCTCAGAAGGGTGCTGGGCTGCAGGGCTTCTCTAATGGTCCAGGGTTAATATCCACAAGATAATCTTTAGTCAACATGTGTGCCATTCCAGTGCTCCAAATGTGCACCTTTTTGGAATAGTATGTGCCAGTATCTGCTGTGTGTGTGTGCATGTGTGTGTTTGTATGTATACATTTAAATCAAAGCTTATAAAGAACTGGCTTCTCTTCCTTTTAAATCCATATGTAAAATCCATTTAATTCAGGAGATGAAAAATGGGTGTAATAATGGAAATGAAATTATATGTAAATGGCTCCCGCTCCAGTTTTTTTTATAATCTTTCAATAAATAATAATTCATATTGCAATGTATACTTTTGGAAATTAAAAACGATGTTAACAGAAAATTTCACAAGACCTGTCTTAGTCTTCCCAGGAACTGAGACACTGTGCCCCAGGGATCTGGGAGCAATGGGCTTAACCACCAAATCTGCCCAAGTGTACACAAAGGCACATAAGAAGACTACTCAAATGCGCATGCTCTGTTAATACAGGATTTAAGCTCATTAATATAGCCTTCAATTTGGAAAGAAAGCATGTGTTATTTCATTCATTTTATTTTCTGTATGAATGATGAGAATGTGTGTACCTCTCTAGTCCTTTAAAACCAAGCAAAACTGAAAACCACATCTTGGCATCAAAACCACCAGTGCTGTGCAGTAACTCTAACTCACTTTTGTGTCGATCTTCTTGAAGGCAGCATCATCCTCATCTACCTCGAAGTAGATTTCTGTTGTGGTGATGGAGAGAGTTCCCTTGGCCACCACCACAGGAGCAATGAGCTGGGCAGGGGTGCTGAGAACCACAGGGCCTGCAAGACAGGGACAGTGGGTCAGCCTGGGCCTTTCTGGTGCTCCCAAACTCCCCCCCCGCCCCCCCCCCCAGAGGGTATGGCAAGGTTTTATTTTAAAAAATGCACTAGGAAAAGATGGTGCCTATGCTATGCAAGGTCATTTCACATTAGGCAAAGTCTGTCAGCATTTATATAGCACCTTAAAACAAGCCTAGAGTAATTCTATAAAAAAATCAAGGTCAGCATGGCGAATAAGAGACCCGTAAGATGGAAGTTTGCAACCTCTGCCTAGTGAGGTTGGTAAGACACTGCCGTTATCCGATTTAGAAACGCGAGCAGAATGGATGTTCCTTGTGTCTGCTACTCCGTGAACATCACCTGCACTCCAAGGGATCCTAGGCAGAGGGTAATGCCCGAAAGGCCAACAACCATCTCCTAAGTCATTTCTAACCCCAAAGCGAGATGATAAAGGATAAGGGGGAAAGCAGCTAAATATGTAAATCCCACGGGCTAGCATTTTACGCAAGGATTGTTTTAATTTGGGCGGTCTAAGGTGGGAAACATTCACTGGCAGGAGTACACAGTCACTGCTGCTGCTGTGAGGAGAACGAAAACCTGGTGCGTTTTCTCATCAGAGCACACCGAAGATGAAAATGTTAGAAAAACGCTGAAACCAAAGCCATTTTTCGAAAAGGGGAAGGAAAGTGCAATTTCACAGCTTTTGACCCAGAGAAATTGGGCTTCAATAGATATTTAGAAAGTGTGCATACTCTGAATTTCCTCAATTTGAATACTGATTCGAGGAGGAAAATCCTTGAAAACTCTCTTCGCGATTCTGGTCTAAACGTACAAGAATTCAGAAATAACGCTTTGTTGATATTTTTTAGGTTCTAGAGAGCCAAAGAACCCAGCCATTAAAAACACCCTCTGCTGCAAGGAGCGGGGGCCAGGAGACCAGGGGAGTGCTGGCCGCGCGGGAGCCAGCCGGAGCCCCAGAGCCGCGGAGCCAGCAGTCCTGCAGAGCCCGGGCCTTCCCCGGAGAGAGCAGGGGGCCTGGGCTTCGGCCTGGCCCACAGCACACCAGGTGCCTTCGCCTTCAGGGTTTTGTCCTCCCTGCAGACTAGCGACGGGGGCCCTGGCTCCGGCTGCGGGCGGCAGAGTTGGGTCCTCCGCGGCCTGCCCGAGCTTTTTTTTTTTTTTTTTTTAGCTTCCAAGGGGCGAGGCGGTCGGTCTGGAGCGCCACTTTAAAGGCTCATCAATCTTAATCTAGGTTGCTCAAGTAATTATGCCCGAATCTCTTGTACGATTACAAGTGGATTTGGGTTTCTATTCCCCAGGCCCTCCTTTGTGTTTATTGGAGGGTCCGCGCTCGCCGGCGCCTCCAGCCTCCCGGGCCCTCCTTGGATCTCCCGCGCCCGCCCGCGGGTTCGAACCGCTCCCTTAACCCTTGCGCCACCGCGGCGCTGTGTGAGGCGTCCGTTTGCTGGTTCCCCTTCCAAAACTTCGTATTCACATCTGAAACAAAACGTCTTAAACAATTTGGGCTTGAGGAAAAATCCCTAGGAAAGGTCATTCTAAGCACGGAGGACCAGGCTTTAACCTTTTAGACTCTGACTTTTGGAGAAGAACAATGGTGGAAAAAATTAAAAATGGCGAGCCGCTTTCTTCTCTTAAAAAGTAATCTAACATATCCAAACAATAAACTGGGAAAGCTGGGGGGGGGGGGGGAGGAGCTCACGAGATGAGTTATCCAAACTCTACTCTGATTTACTGAAATACAGCACGAATTTGATATACACAGCCCTTTAGTCACATTTTTTAAAAGGGACAGACGGCACTTCCATTTGATTCTACTCCACGGTTTTTTGTTTGTTTGTTTTCCTACTGAGTTGAGGTTTTCTGGGAGTCTATGAAAGAATTTCTTTAAGAAAGACACATCACGAAATATTCAACCTTAGAAATACTTCCCCCCCCCCCCCCCAGTCTCCAATTACAACTCCCAATTCCGTAGATTGTTGGAGGAGCGCAGGGCTTTTTTGTTGTAGCCTCCAGGGAACAGAGCAGCCACAGAGAGCACACAGTTAATCCACTGCAGCAATAGAGAAAGGGGATTAGCTTTAATCCTCTTCGGGGAACCTCTGGATTTTAGGGATCCTCTATTAAAATGTTTACATAAAGCACAATCACAAGCCAGCATGTTTTCCAAATGACAAGGAGTGACTGAGAAACCCGGGATCTTTTTCCAAACAGAGTGTTTTGCAGGGCAGCATCCCTGGGGTCAGGAGATGCCTACCCAGTGGGTTCATTTCTAGCCGCCCCCACCCCTCATTCCTCACCCCGCACCCATCTCTGCACTATGGGCTTAACCTTCTGAACTTTGCTTGGTATAGTGAATCGGCAACTGACTGTAAACATATCCATTCCAATAGCTACCCTAATAATGAAAGAATAAATTACAATAATGTCCTCAGCACACACAGAGCAGTAATATTACAGGATGTAAAAGCCCTATTCCTATTGTATTGGCACATATAACAATTTAAAACTACCATAAATGCTGATAACGAAAAGGGAAAATAAGCAAATATTATTTACTTTTTATATTGGCTATGGGCCCATGACTGCTTTTAAAGAAAGGTTAGAGGTGTTACTTGACATTATTCTAGAACCAACGGGCATCAGGAAGGATCCAAGAAGAAGGGCTTCTCTTTGGCGCCATGTTCTTCTAAGGAGATGGTAAGTGTCACTGTGTGCTGATGTGTTGGAAGTACATATATGTCCATGAGATATACTTTATTTTGAGACAGTGTTTCTCTATGTAACAGCCCTGGCTGTCCTGGCTGCCTGCTTCTGCCTCCAAGTGCTGGGACTAAAGGCTTGCCTCAAAATATATTTTTAAAAGATTTGGGTTTGGATTGTTACTGAAAAAAAAAATATCAGAACTCCAATCCTAGAAATCGTAATAAAACACATTAGCATCTTATTACAACCTTACAGTTTACAAAGGTCTCTTCCACCTCCATTTAGCTACAGGCAACTAGTCACAGCTATAAAGTGGGTTCTAGATGTCACAATGGTGTGCACCTGCCATAGCACCTTTGGCGACTGCTCCACTGTAAGGGAAAAATGGCAACTTCGGGCACTTGGGTGACAAAGGATGAGTTGTAGGATCAGGACTTGATAAAAAAAATTTGCAGACTTCTACGACTCAAGAAGGCAGACAGCTGTGCATGGAATCTATTGGAAACAGGGACTATTTGGGGATTGGCTATTATAACAACTGTTTTAGAAGCAAGCTAAGGATTGAATTGAAAAGCAGCATTTACCCACTTCAGCCAGGAGAGGGGGTGTTTACTGTTTCATGACCTTGCTTTTGTCTGAGCTTAGACCAAATTATTGAGTTGTCTATTGTGACATCATGGGTGATGGCATTCTGTGATGTTTATGTTTGGCCAGGAGCACTCTGGCTTAGCTGTGAACTTCAGACTAGCTCCCAGAAACACCAAGGCAGAACTGTTTTTTCTTTGCTTTGTCCGATGCCAAATTTAATCACGTTTTAAGGAGGGTCAACAGAGTCCTAGCTATCAAAAGGCAAATGTGGCAACTACATTTGCAGAGCGTACTACACTTGATTTATAAGTTCTAACAGCACAAACAATATAGAGTCAAAACAAGTTGAAGTTTAATTAAATTGGCATTGTTAGAATTATTTGATAAGACATATGGCTAGCAAATACCTTATTAATGGTATGTACAGTTGCAATGTACACTGGAATTAACTGATATTTATTTATTTATTTACCTATTTATTTATTTATTTATTTATTTAGACAGGTTATCTCTTCTGTGTAGCCCTGGCTGTCCTGGAGCTAGCTTTTATAGATCAGGCTGGCCTCAAATTCAAATATCTGCCTGGTGCTGACTTCTGAGTGCTGGAATTAAAAGCATGTGCCACTATCACTGGCTAAAATTTCTTGCATTTACTAATCTAGAAATCTTTAGGATGACTTAAAAAAATTAAGACTAAACTATGAGCATGGAAAAAATTCTTTACTCTGTAACTCCATAATGTGACAAAATTTCTGAGGAAATGAAAGTATGGAGAACTTTCATTTCAAAGTATGTGGTCAAATACTGGCCACAGTCATCACTTCATGGAATCTTTATTTTTAAGTATGTTGTTAGGAAAACTAGGGGGGAAATCTAAGAGAAATGTTAAAGGGCTTTAATTTCAAAAACAAATTAAATTTCAGAAGCGCATGCAGGGAGTTGGAACTTTGTTTTGAGATCCTAGGAAAGCTTTAGGCATTAAGACATTAAGATGTAGAGGCAAAATAAGTAAACTGTAATTAATATAAATAAACAAGTAAATACACAAATATAAAAGGGAAGAAAGTAGAGGTGAGTACCAACAGTGAGGAGGCAGAGGCAGGCGGATCTCTGAGTTTGATGTTAGTCTGCTCTATAGGGTAACTTCCAGGTCAGGCAGGGCCGCACAGAGGAACCCTCTATCAGCGACCACCACCAAGAGGAAACAAGTAGAGGTGAGCTGGAGCGAGGACTCGGGTTTAAGGGTGCACATTGCTTTTTTAGAGGTCCTGCTTTTGGATTCTAGCACTTTCAGCAGGTGACACACAATCACCTGTAACTCCAGCCTCAGGAAATCCAACACTGTCTTCTGGCCTCCAAGGGCACCGGTACTCAGGTGCACATACCTACACACAGACACACCTAATTTAAAACATTTAAAAGAAATGGAAAACAGAACAAAGTGGGAGTGCTTGCATTTGTATATGTGACTAGGAGAAGGGAGATGTCTCAGAAAAATCCTGAGAGAATCTTAGATTTCTATCATCCGGGGAAGTTCTTTGTGCTTTAGGTATTTTCAATGTCTCAGGGGGAGAGCTGAATGTTTTACAGAGAATATTGATAGCTGTGCAAAATATATGGACATTTTCAACACTTCTAAAACTTCACAGGGCATTTCTGCTTGAATCAGAAAATGATGACTCCAACAA